CCACGGGGAAGGGAGGAGGTGGGCCAGAGCATCACCGCCCCCCCCAACGCGGGTCCCCCAGCCCAGCGCCTGCCCCAGCAAGCAGGGCACGCTGTGCTTCGTGGACCTGGCCGGCAGCGAGCGGGTGAAGGAGACTGGCTCCAGCGGGGAGCTCTCTGTGGAGGCCAACAACATCAACCGCAGCCTCCTGGCACTGGGTAAGAGTTAGGGGACCCCCCCATGGGAGCACAAGCTGCTGGTCCCCGTCAGAGCCCTGTTGCACTCTCTGTGGCTCGTCCTCCGGCAGGACACTGCATCTCTCTGTTGGCCAAACCCCGAGGGAAGCGGACGCACATCCCCTACCGGGACAGCAAGCTCACCCGGCTGCTGGCCCGCTCCCTGGGCGGCTCAGGCATCACCCTGATGGTACGTGCACGGAGGAGGCTGGGCAGCGGTGCATGGAGCCGTGGGGGGCCGGGGTCTCGCCCCGTGGAGCGGAAGGCTGGAGGGGGACGGGTGACCCCCTGGGTGGCAGCTCACCTCCGGCTCTTCCTTGTCGGCAGGTTGCCTGCATCTCCCCGTCCTCACGCTGCCTCTCGGAGACGCTGAGCACGCTGCACTATGCCAGCCGGGCCCGGAGGGTCACCACCAGGCCCCTGGCCAACAGGGTAGAGCAGGCAGGGGCTGCGGGCAGGGTGCTCTGCCCTGCTGCTGGGACCCCCCTGAGCCACCCCTTGTGCTCCCAGGTGTCCCGGGAGAAGCTGCTGCAAACCTTGGAGGAAGAAATCCATGCCCTGCAGCTGGAAAACCTCTCCCTGCGCCAGCAACTGTGCCTGCCCAGGGTGCCAATGAGGAGCACGGAGGTCCCGGTGACCCCACCCAGGGTGGGAGCATGGCCGGGCTGGGGAGGCAGGTACGGCCCCGCAGGGCTGCGTCGCTCCCCTCTTGAAGGGCAGCTCTCGTTGGAGGGAGCCCCAGCCTGGCCCAGCCTCTACGGCCTCCTGCGGGACTTCGTGGTGGAGAACGAGCAGCTGAGGTATGGGGGTCACACGCAGGACCCATGAGCAGGGGTTCAAGGGGTCGGTGGGGCAGCCAGAGCCCCCAGCCGGGCAGCACCCTGTGTCAGCCAGCCTCTCCTAGGGACTCCCTGGGGCAGGGCAGGGCTCGCAGGTTTGCCGGAGGCTGTCAATGCCCTGCCCTGTTCCCTCGCTGCTCCGCAGGCAGCCCCGGCTGTCCCCAGACCCCAGCGGTGACGTCCCAGCTGGCCCATCCCACAGAGCCACCCGCAGCTCCTGTGAC